ATATATATATATATATATATATATATATATCGGTGTCGGAGTGTAAGTGAAGCACAAAATAATTCTGTTGCACACTGTAATTCTTCCGTCAAGGTAAAACTAAATTCTTCCTTTTAAAGACAAACAAATTTCTGATAAAGTGGACTGACTATCTTTATCCACGATCTGCAAACTTAAAAATGAGCTAAACTATGGGTAATAAATTGAAAACTCGCGTCCCCGTCAATGGACTTTTTATCATAATCAAGTCCAAGAGTTATTATCTAAAGTGAATGACGTGAAGATAAAAGTACAGAGAAATAACCTCTTCAAGATCGATTGCTCTGCTTGTCTCGACCGAAAAGGATTTAAGAATATCTATACCTAAGGTAGTTGAACGGATTTCTCAAAGAGATTACTGGAGTATTTGATTTATGCACACTAAATGTCTTTGAATCTGACAATAAATTCTAAGACATTAGTAAATAGGTACATGCCTGTTTGATAATATCTACATGAAGCACTTTTTTCTCATTTTGCTTCCTTTTATTGAATTTCTAATACTACCTTTTTCAGGAATGGGGAAGCGGCCAATCAAACGGCTGTCATACGAAAGCAGGGGTGAATATCAGGCGGTGGTGGTGGGATTGGATCACACCTTTCCCGAGTCGATTAATTTGGTGACGTTACCACTCGGCCACCACCGTTGAGGATGCGCAAAACTCTATCGATGGTCGTTCGTAATTTGACACAAAATCACTGAAATTCGGTTGGTGGTGAAATGCGTTCGGCCTGATTTCTTACTTCGACGATAAGCTGAACACCAAACGACTGCATCCAATGTCAACGTTTGGTCTCACAGGAGAACGTATTGAGCCATATTCCGGATCTATATGTACAATTTTTACTCATGATGAGTAATCCTTCTTTGTTCTTCCTTGGAGTAGACACAGGGAGGATACTAGCAGTAGTTTTCCATTCTTTATTGAACGAACATTTGTACAATTATTTTTATCCGCAGGTGGAATGGGGCCGAAAAATAAGTGAGTCGATATAAAAAATGTGCAACATTTAAGCAGCGATTATGCGATTCAAACAGAAAGCATTCTGTTATTAGAGTTGATGACCCAAATCGTTCAGTCATTATCTCCCACTTGAATGGCCAGTATTTCATGATGGAATGGTGTACATGTGTGTGTGTGTGTGTGTGTGTGTGTGTGTGTGTGTGTGTGTGTGTGTGTGTGTGTGTGAACGGACCTGTATCATGAGTACCAATTTGACAAAGTTTCATCGGGTAAAACTGCGAATGAACCCAAGGTCATATTTCGACTCCGTAGTGTATGACCGGCTTAGTGTATCATAATTTGTTTGTCCTATAAGCGATGACTCATAGATAATATGTTATTTATCAACGCCTCATCCGATAAAATTGCCGGGGTGAATAATTTTTACACTCCCATTTCGTCCTGCGATTTGATCAGGTCAATCAGTCAATCGACCGGTTGCTTTTTCAGACAAAATGATCCATTTTTACCATTACGCTCCATAAGAGATCATATCAGTAAAAGCAAGATGAATCCAGAATGGAAACCATAAGCACAACAAAGTACACAGAATCTGGAAGAATCAATTCCTGGTCAGCTGAGTACTCTCGTGTACCTGGTGATTGGTGAAACCTGCTGTGCCAAACATCTTTCTAAATCAGGAAAGTGCTACACTGCCGGAAAGTAGTCGCGCAAGCACAGAAATGTGCATACCTGTTACATGTTCTTGAAGTGGATAGATCTGTACTAAATGCACGTTGAAACGAGCGAGTGCTGTTAGACAAAATAAGGTGACCGAGTTCGCCACGGAAATTGACAACTTTTGTCAAAATAAACCTTATTAAATTGAGAATAAGTATTCAATTTATGAGAGATATTTCTTATGGATAAGCAAAATATTTGGTAGTCTTTGAGAAAATAAATATGGGACGCAGACAGGAACAAACGTGAGGAAGACAGATTGGGGGACATGCATAAATATTATTTGAAAACAACAAAGAATCATCGTGAAGTCCGAAGAGAGATCCGCCGATATCATGAGAATGTTGATAAAATCGGCTATCCGATCACAGTGGAAGGATATACAACACTTATATAATCACGGTTACCATGGCTCATTCTTTGTGAATCACTTCGAGATGTGCAGTGGATACGTTCACGTTGTGATGTGATATCGCACTGATTTTTGCAGAGAGCTTGAAGAAACAATGATACGAGTTCGATAACGGCATCCTTTTAGAAGTATAGCATAATTTCGTGTCGTTAACCAACATACAACCCAATAGATTGTTTTCGCGTTGAGGAAAATTTAACAAAAGTGTTCTATTAGAAGTAAATAAATTGGTCACATTGAATGGAAAAATTTCTTCAATAAATTTTGACAAAGGCATTGATGTGAGACACGAATTCTGATGTGAATGCATCAACGAATTCGGAAATTTCAGAAGCCTATTAGATGGTTGAATATAGCCGTTGATAAATCCGCATAAATGCCTAGGACAAAGTTGAATGATCAGCAACTTGAGAAGCCAAGTCCAAACAATAGTGAATAGTATTGCGGTATTGCGAATAAAAAGGGCTACAAGTGCATAAGCATTGAATAAGTCATTTGTGAGCTCATGCTTCCGAAGTTCCCACACATTGTTTTCTGAAGCCAGGCTGGGATGAGCTCAGTTACTTGGTAACGCAGTTGTCTCTCCGTTCTGCCGATGTAGATGGCCGATCATTCACACTTGAACTGATAGATACAATTACATTTGGCGTGGAGAGACAGCAGTTCTTTCACCGATTGGCAACCGGGCGGTTGTACAAACAACGATGGGGTCAGCTGCGTAGTAGGTGCGCTTAACGGCCGATTTTGGGCGCTTGATAANTTGAAGGACAGTTGCAGGACCACTGTCATCTTATCTGCACCTGGTGTCTTTTCCCGTGTTGGGTTGGGTTGGAAGTGATTTAAGGTGAACCCTTTCGGATATCCGTTCGATTGTAACACTCTTCTGATCTTGTCATATTCGTTATTCAATGTGTCTGTTGTGCAAATCAATCGCGTCCTGTAGAAGAGCGTTCGAACTAGACTAATCTTATATCACATTGAAGCGAAGCTAGTAAAATGGAGATATTGTCCGGATCATGTATCTTTTCGGTACACATATTGTGATGGAAGGCAGTTCAAAGAGAGTCCTGGCTAGCGACCGAAGCAAGAATGAGGCCCATCCGACCAGACGCACAGACGCAGTGGCGGGAAGTGCCTCGCGAGACAATGTTGACTGCCACCCGAAACGAGTGAATCGACAATT